GCGCAAATGACTAGCCGGCCAGCGTAGAGGTGAGCGTTTTTAATTACAGCCTTGGTCAGGCACGAAAAACACGAATCGAACAAACACATAAAGAGCATATGTACGGGTACATCTACTTGTATGTGAAACGTAATGCCATTTCCTAATAATTAGCCTTGGTTGCCAAATGGACGAACATTGCAACAGTATTTGAAATCAATATAAAGACTCTTGCATTTTAAAGCAAAGCTCGACTTTTGTGGGCACCCTAACTAATACTTGATTCTTTACAGAAAGTATCTAAATAATACGAAAATGAAGTATGAATTTTTTTTTTTTTTTTTTGACAGTACAACTTCTTGTCTGCAAATGAATTTGTAGCTAATAAAATTTTAATTTATTGGCAACCCATTTCCGTTTAATGTGCACGAAGGATAGCAGGATATTTGATCAACTTTTGTTCTTGGCTGTAACTTGGCCAACTCCTAAAGAAGTGTTATATTTAGTGTATAACACAACATTCTATTAAAAAGCTATATTCTGAAGCCTGGCACAACACCTCTTAAAAAGAATATCAAGATGAGGGTACATAAATGCAAGGATATTTTAAGCTTGTCAAAGTTTTTTATTGTGTCCCAAGCTCCGCCAGAAAATTGTTCTTTTTTTAGATTTAAAAATTTCAACTAAAAAAGAACACCAGCAGGAGGCGTTTTTTAGAGGAAATGTCCAACAGATATTAGCAATCGAATGTTTTTTTTTTTTTTTTTGAAGAAGCTGTTCCTGGTCTAGATGATATCATTAGAATTGCAATAACCCGCACGACTGCTGGTCTGGTCAAGAGGGCTCGCACCAGTGTTGCTGTTCCGCCCCTTGAGATTTCTACACGGGGAAAGTAATTTTTGAGCAAAACAATTCATTTCTGTGCACTCAAAAAACGAGTTTTTTTATGTCGCAAATAAATTTGTTCTTGCATTTCCATTCTAGACGCCGTGCAAAAAAGTTATGTTTAATTGAATTCGAGGTGTGTATTTCATTTAATATAATGTTAGATATATATATATATAGATATATGTGAGACATATGTATATCGAATCTCTTCTAAGCATTTCTTAATTTTGTTTCGACAGTGGAGATAAAAAACATATTCTTAGTATAATGAGATACTTGTAAGAGTTTTTTGGCCACCTTCCTTTCTTTATTGTCATATCAACTTAATTGAACGAGTCAGACATCAATAAGGTATTGAAAAATCAACAATATGTTGGGGCGAGAAAAGGCCTATCTATGTCCATCTCTAGACTAAAATCAACGCGCATTCACATTCACGTAGAGCTTGATCGAGGCAAATGAAATGCGAATTGCTAGCCAGAGCTCGTGGTTATCACTTGATTGGCCAGACGGTCGTCGCCTGTCCAGGGCAGGCGCCAACTTATTTCGTCGCTGCGATGTTAAATTTACGCAATGGACATAGATTTATGCCAGGCTGGCCACTAGACACCTGCGCCACAGTAGCCATGGCTCGGACTCAACTTCAGAACTGAACCGAGCCAAGCCGAGCCGAGCCGGCCTGAGGTGAGAGAGGGTGTGGGATTGGGCCCACAATTCGTTCGAGGAATAAATCGAAAAAGTTTTTTTGCTTGTTATTTATATTAAATAAATTATTTTCGGTATTTTATATTACAATTCAAGTGTACCCTACACTGCGTTAAATGGTGGTCTGTGTGGCTGAATGTTAACTTGGGAATTGGGACCCAAAAAAAGCTATTTTCTTGTTAAGAGATAAAGGCATTTTCCTCTTTATGTTGACCTTTAATTAATATTAATGTGAATAAAAAAGAGTATGCTCTGACTAAGTAATGATATATAAATAAAATCATTTGCTTCAATACAAGAAAGTATATACCGAAAGGCTTTTTTAGGAGGCCTAACTATATTTACATAAACTGAAGTGTATTCCCAAAAAATATTTAGAACTACCTAGCATATACATCCGTTTCCAAGCTTCGCCAAAATACGTGGAATCGCAATTGAAATAAGTTAATACTCTCCACCCTACAAAAAAGGTGTATGAAAATATAAAAACTAGTTTATTTCATTAAAAATTTGCGTAACGGATTTGAAATATCCAAAACATTAACTACAACATCGTTGTTTATGCGGCAGCGCGCTGTTAACTACAGCAGAGGCTGGCAGCTGTAAGCGACCTCTGTTAGTTAACAGAGCGCTGCCCACGCCATTGCCTCTCTCCCTAGTATTCTAATTAATTGAAGTTTGAAAGCACTTTACCCTGAATGTGTAAACCAGTCTAAGAAGAAACGTCGCGAATACAAGTTGATAGAAAGCAAGTGATAGTTTTTACTTCAACCGCATTTTGTCTAAAATATTTTTAAATTCACGCCCCACTCCTGTACAACCGTAATAAACAAAATATTTATTTATTTAATATAGTTATTTTAGAGTATGTATTTGCTTTCGAAATATCTACCTTATAATGCGAAAGCTATGAAATAAGATTGAACTGGCATGTGGTTGAGAGAGATAGATCACTTATTTAAAGATAATTCAAAGAATTTTCGCAATAGAGCTTAAACGGAAATTAAGTTCCCATTTATTTATAGAACATTAATCATAAATATACAGCAAGAAGGTGCCCCTTTTAAAGATATAAAACATTTTAAATTGTACGTTACGACTCTCTTCATGAATATACCATACTTGTATTACAAAATTGGGGGTTGCCTTCCTAGAATCTGCAACAAACAAACATAATGTTGCTTATAAAGACAATAGTATTTACAAATTAATAATTGCTTAAAGGACTTTCCTGAATATTAGCAGTGCAATCCTAATTATTATATATTTTTTAATTTTGAATATAAGTATTACAAGCATGTAAAATTCATATTAATAGAATCATATTCGTGGTTATTGGTCACTCTTAGTTAATTTGCGCTCCAATTTTGTTTCTTTTTTTAGGCAGGCGAATGAATTGGATATACTTTTTGAATTGTCCCACGTCTACACAATTTATTCAACAGTCCTGTGTCATAAAGCCACTTCCCTAAAGGAGGTTCCAGCTATGCCCAAATGAATGGCTCAGCTTTAAAAGGAAAGTCCAATCCCTTATTGAATGCACGAGTGTTTTATTCGTTCATAAATTTTTGATTTAGTCGCAGATTTATCAAGAAATAACTTTGTCCTACATTATAAATGGAGAAGATAATTATGAATTTGCTTAAAATATGCACATTTAATTAAAATCTTTTGTTGAATACAATTTTTCGTCAACAGTGAACAGAAATTAATGGCTGCACTGCAATTAATGAACCATTTATTCGTATGCACAAATCCGAGCACAAACTTTTTATAATTTATTCATAAATTCATTTAAACAAAATATAAAGCTATTGCCTTGAATGTTTGAATAGATTATTGAATGCAGACAAGTTTTATAAATATTAAAATATTTATGTAAGGAAGTTTATAAAGTTGGGCTTTTATTCAATCAATCAATAAAACGAAACATTAATTAACTTATCAAACACATCACTCACTAAAGTAAAGCGAAGTTTGCATTCTCTTCGATCAAGGATACGTCGTAAATCTGATTCGTGGCTGACAGCAAAGGATTTCTATGGCATTGGGCGCGCAGGGCATTCAATGATCGAGTGCACCATGCAGAGGCCAGGCGTTCATGTTTTTTCGTTGGCCATTCATCGTTTGAATCCATGTACTTATGCAAATTTTAAATGGCTGCCAAGCGGTAAGTGTGTTTCGCATGCTGGATACCAACGTCTGAGGCCATAAATCTGCAACAAGGGAACAACAATTGGCTCACACTGTGCCACTGTGTCCATCATCAATGCCAGCATTTTGGCACAGCCGCGAGCGTCGTACTCGCTATTATTGTTAGCACTTCTTTTCACTTCAATTCACTGCACAACATGGCCAAGCAAACGGACCTCGGCCTCGAATTGGGGGTACTCTGGCACTCTGTTAACCTGACTGGTAACAAGTCAACACGCAAACTGGCAAACAGACCAAAACAACTTGGCGGATGATTCGGTTACGAGCTGGCCATCAAAGGCAAATCCAGCGAAGCGACGAGCGGTCCGAACTTCACGTGAAATGCGCTGCACTTCCTTCGACAATCAAACGTACACAAAAGAGTCTTGTAATTGAGTGGAGCAGGAAAACAGCAGTTGAAATTTGCAACTGGCCCCGGAATGCTACCAAAAACTCATCCTCATCCTCATCCTCAACCTTAGCTTCGTCCACATACACATGCTCTCGAGCTGGAGCTCGAGCTGCAGCTCGAACAAGGCAAATGGTGTTTGGTTGTTGGCTGCTTGTTGTTGGTTGTTGGTTGTGGTGCTAGTGACGAAACAATCATCATCACAGGCACACGCATTTTTCATCGCACCCAGCGTCGATCAGAGAAATGAGAATTGGAATTCCGCGCAAATATTTCCAATCAAATTTCAATTTTACAAAACGCCACACCACCAATGGGATGGCTTCCATCGGCCTCCATTAGTCATTATTAATGCGCCTGATTTGCAGTTTGCAGTTTACAGTTTGGCCCCCAAGTGAATGGCATCGCAAATTGTTTTGGGGCGCGCATTTCGAATTTGATTTTGATTTTGATGCGGACTGTCAACTACGACTACATTGCCGTCCCTGCTCTTTATTACCATTTAGACAATGAGCTCAAAATGTTTGCGACTTTTTCGCGCAATCCTTTTTCCGATTTTCACTCATTCGCTGCTAATCAGAGCCTGGCCAACAAGCAAAACAATTTTTCAAAAATAAACACCGCATAGTTTTACAATAAATACAAATAAATAGAAACACATTGCGATGTTGCACAGCTACAGCAATAATGAAAATCCATGGCATCTCTGTATTTTTCTGCATTTATTCACCTTTCGCGTGTCCATGGCACGGCTAATCCATGACAGTTTACATAACACCGCCCGGACAGGGCAGGATACAGAATATATAAGAGAGTGTGTGTGTGTGTGTGTGTGTGTGTATTGCATTGTCACAATATACTATACATATTCTCTTTCGCAATGCAACTAAATAAAATTGTATGTTTACATAGATTTGCTTTAAAAATTTAAGGCTCCTTAGCACCTCAGTACTGGAGGCTGCGCTTCAGGCACACATCTTCCAGCACTAGCATTAAGTCGGCATAAGAGCGATTCTCCAGTGAGGACATAAAGGACTGCGCCTCCTCGGGCGTGTGTGGGCACAGATTGGCCAGAGTGGCCTGCTCAAAGGGATGCAATCCCAGCTCGTACTTGGACAACATCCTGGCGGATAAAGGAGAACAGATAAATAGAAACTCAGAACTACTGAGCGACTGAGCGACTGAGCGACTCACCGGCGCACAGCATTCACAGACGTCTCGCTTTTGAAGAGACGCACCTGCTCGGTATAGTCGAGTGTCACGTCGAGAATCTCGGGTATACCGATTTGTGGGACGTCGTCCAAGTTCTCGTCGTACTCCGTCGCGTTGGCCAGTTTTTCTGCCTCCTGCAAGCGCTTCTTCTTCACTTCCTCCAGCAAAATGTGCACCTCGGAATTGTTAAAATACTTGACATCTTCCAAATCTTCGGGTAACTTCAAATTGCTCGCATCTTCATCTTGGGCTTCGTCCATATCATACGGCATGCTAAGTCTCTCCATAATTGTTGTTCACTAAATATTTTATTCGCCTGACTGACTTGAAATGAGAACAATTTGATTTTATTTTATTTTTTGACAATTTCACCTCGACAGCTTGAGAAGCACTGAATGTAGAGTACGTTGCGTTACTTCAATCGATTCTTTTTGAATGCATATCTGGGCACTAGTACTTAATTAGAATGCCATGCAAAGCAGGCTCTGCTATCTGCTGTCATCATAATTTCAAGTAATTTAATGCAATAAACATGTTCTCGTTTGTGAATGAACATTTAAAGGCCATTTTTTATGTCAACACCGCTATATGTTTAACAAATATTTGCATATATATCTAAAAGTATGCATATATTATTACATATTGTCGTTGCACAAATTAAACTAAACAATTTTTTATTTATATCTGTACCCAGACCAGGTTCTTTTAGCTCCGCAAAAGATAAGTTAGGAGCGCTTTTTCTATAACTCAAGCAATTATTAGAACTTTATTCTTAACCGCCCTAAATTAAATCATGGGCAGACACATGATCTTCCAGGAGCTGTAGTTGTTCTTGTTGCTGCATTAGTGGAGCTCTGAAACATATGTATATATATTTGTTGCACGATCAATAAAAAAAACTTCAACAAATCGAACTCAGTTCCATTTTAAGATCCCCACCCCTCTGACCCACTTCACGTACACCCTTGCAACAGGTTATGATTTACTCTCTCTGTTCGAAAATGAAAAAGTCATCCATAAAAAAAGTTTACGTCTGTCTGTCTGTTTCTCCATATGAACACCAAGAACTTTGCAACGGCTAGTGGTAGCAAAACTCGAATGAAGACTTGTATTATCCATATGTACAATAGAACAAGTTTATTGAAAACTATATGTAGCCTCATTATTTTATTTAGCTGCCACAGGATTGATCATTACAAAAATCAGTCTCTGTATGGCAACTACTGTTGAGTATTTATGAGATTTTTATAGTGCTTCATGACATTATAAAGCTTCATTGAATTTATAAAATAGCTGTCATTGGAATGATTCCTACAAGAAATTGTGTTTTGTTTAAACACCAATGTAGGGGCGAAGGTGGTGACAGGATATTCAAGAGTCTGTTTTACTCATTTTTTATTCCCAAGTGTTTAGGTGCCGGGTACTTGCATTCTCTTGATGACTTTTTAACCAATTTGCTTTGAAGGGAAGCTACTACTTTTCATTAATAGTTAATAAATAATTTTTCAGCTATAACTGTAATCAATAATTACTGGGGGCCAGGCACACAAAGTCAAATGTTGAAATAATATCGAAATTATTTTATATCGCTGTTTAGCTTCGAAAAGGAACTCCTACTCATTCATTTATTAATTAATTTCTCCACCACATATAGCATAAACTGTTTTTTTTTTTTTTTTTTGGCCACATACTACATGTGGAGGTATTTTTTTGGTGCAGACCCAAAGCTGCCACTCATAAAGCTTCGAACGCGAAATCCGCAATTATAAAACTTATCCATGAAATAAAACTAAAACCAATTAAAATACTTTCTTACATGTTCAGCGCAAACTTGATGTAATCTGTCTGCTCTGAAATACATACACACACACAAAAACACAAACACACACACACACACACACACGCAGAATGGTATTTGTATGTGCGTTTTTCAACTGTTGGTTGTTTATTAATCTGTTCGCTGCTTGCCCGCTAACAAAAGGCCAAAATCGCTGGAAAATTGAATAAGTGTTAATTGAAAATGTCAAGCCATCACGTGGCCAACTGCTGAAGCAAGAAAGCAAGGGAGATGTAGGGGCATACGAGGGCGGTGTTGTAACTATGCCATCAGCAGCAGCAGCACCAGCAGCAGCAGCCACGTGATAGGAGCATCCTCGTCCTTCGGTCAAACCCAAGCCCAGCAAACAGAAGCGCTGTTTTGCTCGCTCCCACTAGCACATCTCTCCCTCCCATCTCTATTGCCTCTGTCCTGGTTCATTTGTGTGTATGTGTGTGTGTGTGTGTGCGTGTGTGTCTGTATGTGTGTGTGTGTGTGTGTGTGTGTGTGCCTGCGTACATCATTCACGGAGCATTCATGCGTTGTCCTGTCGGCTGCTTTTAATTTCCATGCCCCCAACTTGACTCGAACACATCCGCACTTGCATTTTTCTCTCGCCTTTATCGTTTTTACTGTTTTTGCTTTCAATTTTATTGTTTAAGTGCGCTCATGCTTATCCGCTGGCTTTCTCTCATCAGCAGCATCACCATCACCCTCACCATCAGCATCAGCTTCGTCCAAGTTTCTCGCCCACTTTTCTCGTTTTTGTTTCGCGTAAACAAAACTATGAAATTCCTTTGTCAGTCAAATCGTTAAATTTTCTGACAATTCTCATTTATCATTGGCGGTGGGGCCAAAGGGGCGTGCCCCATAGCTTCAAGTCAGCCAAGCGTGCTGCATCAAGTCAGTCAGTCAGTCAGTCAGTCAGCCAGTCAGTCAGTCAGCCAGTCAACAAGGTTCAGCTCACAGCTCAAGCGTCTGCCACCTGCTTCAAGCTGTTGTCGCAATAAAGACTCTGACATCGCCTCCATTCCCCCCGCCTTAACACACCACCCATCACCACCCGGCGCCTCCATACTCCATACACCACTGCCTATGCTCTTGATCTGCTTGACGCTGTTGATAGCTGCACTGCGATATTTGCATACATTTTTTTTACTCTTATTCCCATAGATCTTTTATGCAATGCCGCAAAGTTTATACTCACACACGCATCGCCTGCGCACCACTCTGTTTTCCTTTTGCACTTTTTACATTTTAATTTTTGGAAAAACTTTTGCCGCTTGACGCTGCCAAGTGTGGGCGCTTGTTTGTGACTGTGACTGTGAATTGTGGATTGTGAATGCGACTGAGGCTGAGGCTGAGGCTGAAGAACTGCGAATGCTGGTAACTGAATGCTGGGCCTCTGACTGTGGCTTTGACTGTGGCTGTGGCAGCCAAAGTCAACGTGATGGCCGCTGCTGAATTTAATTAAATTTATGAAAAATTTACATATTTATTGGTTTAAATGCCCAAAAATTGTGCCAGTCATATGTAGCGGTAGTCGGAGCCGAGTTTAATGAATATTCATAAAAATTTAACGCAACACACAAACACACACATCAGCATCCGACAAGGACATGATTCTAACTAATACAACTAAAGAAACTGCAAGACAGCAACAACAAAACACGCACTAAGAAACTATTTTCATGTATCCAGTGAAAGAGTTGAAGTAACATTCAGTTTTGATTTTATTTTTCAATTCCCTACAAAATATCTTTAAAGCAAATACAAATTACAAAAACAAGTATATAAAAATGTCAAAGTCGTTCAATAATGTTTGTTAATGTCCATGTTAAAATAAAGCTTGCATTACATATCGTGGCGATTTGAAATTTCCATACTGGTTCACACCTCCCGATCCACAATTCAATTTTCATACCAGTTCTGCTAAAAAGATAAGAAAAGAAGAAACATAGACAAAAGAGCTTTAGTCCAACAAATACATTTGCGCAAAATTGAATGCAATTTTAAATAAAAACAATCTAGATGAAATCCAAATATATTTTCATATGCCACGCCCATTTACAAAATTACAAAAAGAAATTTAAGTATAAAAATGTCAAAGTCGTTCAATTATTTCAATAATAAAAAACCAATGCAAAATAGAGCTAACAACCATTTCCAATATTTCCAATATTTATGATGATATGCATTACATTTCATTAGGATTTGAAATTCCAATACTGCCTCATACCAGCCAATCTATAATTTTCATACCAGTTTTGTGAGAAATACAAGTATAGGAAAAACAGAAGCTAACTAAATGAAAATGCAATTTAAAATAAAACATACTAGAGGAAATCTAATCATATTTTTTACACAACATATATACAAGTATAACAAATTTCAAAGTCGTTCAATAATAACCATTTCCAATATAAGATTTATGGTAACATGCATTACATGCCGCTTTAAAATTTCTATACTCTTTCATAAACATTAAACATTAAACAAAAGTACTTTAAAAATGCAATTTGAAATAAAACAAATCAAATAAATTCAAAACATATTCTTCTGGGCCACGGCCATCTGCATGTCTCTCGAATTATTGATTCGATGCAAATCGAAAAATGTGCGACTAATTATTAATTATGCTTTTCCGTTTGCCAATCAATGAATACACCCATTCATAACATAAATATATCATACTGCAAAGCAGAAAAGATATAACAGTTCAATAATGATTAATCAAATGAATACACAGACGTAATTTTGTATGCTGTAAAAAAAAAACGAATTAAACACAAATCGTTTAAGCAGAACATTATCTGACGATAACATACCCCGAACGTATCGCAGGTATGCATAATTCGATTATCCATCACTTCACTCAGTCCATTGCCAAGCTAATCAACAATATTTCCCCTACCGAGATAAATTTTTTTTTAATATGTACATACTTACACATTTAAGCAGCTCTGCATACTTAATTAACATATCGACATCGATATGTTGGAATTTTGCATATTCTGATTACTATGAACATTTATTTCATACAAAAATCTATTATCAATAGCCAGAACACTTCAATGTTTATTTTCATATTCATAAAACATTTTTATTTTATTTAACATATTTAGAAAAAAATCTACTTCTAAATAAAACACACCACAAGGCTGAAAATATAACACAAAAATTAAAACCAATTTGCTTCGTGGCGTTCAATTTTATTCTAAGAATATTTTGATATATAAATCAAAAGATACAGCTGTTTTGTTACTATCTGTTTTTAATTTCTTAGCTATTATTAGACATTTATTTTTAATATTTTTAAGTATAAATATTTGTTGCAATGTCACTAATATTAGTTCACTACAGAAATCAAAACTTATCTCCCCCTTACCCTCTCTCTCTCTCTCTCTCTAATTTGTTACTCTTCATTAAAAAAGAACGATAGCCACTGTTCATACTTAAGGGTATGCCAACTTATTTAAATCATTCT